CAGGAGAGGGGCAATCGGCTGGTTTGGCGACGCGTAGCAGCTCATGACGTCAATGCCGTCAATCCTCGCCGCTACGAAGCCGTCGCCAACCTCGATGTCCGCGACCGCTTATTCGTCAGTCCAAATGAATGGACTGCTNCTTATTCGTCAGTCCAAATGAATGGACTGCTTATTTCGCGGCTAACCTGCATATCTGCAGGCCGTTGCTCAATCCGCAACCTGAGGACGCGCCCGATTCCCCGAGCTAGGGACACTGCGCTCGTGTCGACGTTTCGTAGCCCCGTAGAGCCCGATCACACCGACACTAGCGCAGCGATGATATCTGACAGTGATTAAAATCACTATTATAAAAAACGCTTCGATGCAAATCTGTAGATAGTGTTTAATTTAAAAAAAATAATGGATTATTCCAAAAGCTACAGGATCTCCTATTTTATTATTTATACTTTGATTACAAGTTTTATGAATTAGAAGTGTAATATATGAATAAATAAATATATATATATTAATAATATATAAATATAAATAGTACTTATCTCAAAAAAAATATAATGATCCATACATTTTTCAAAAAATTATAGTATTATAAAGTTAAGAATATAAAAAAGAATTTTTTTACAAAAATCGTATTCTTTTTATTAACTTTGATGTCTGTTTTTACCATGACAATTTTTTTTTCATAATAAAGTATATTACATTAGCTTTAATTTAAGATACATATAAAAGTTTCCGGAACACTTTCAAAAGTTAATTTTTTGTGAAAAAGTTGTCATTTTGAATCCCTCCCTGTGGGCAGGTAAAGGGTCAAATTTATAAAAAAAAAGACAAGTGTAGTAAGGAACTATTTTCCGGTTATAAGTAAAGAAAAAGCTAAGATTTCATATTGTACTATAACTGTTTCTTACAATGCAGATTCAACATCATTTATTTAANTTTCTTACAATGGAGATTCAACATCATTTATTTAAATATTATATTATATTTAAGTCGCACCCCCACCACCAGTACCTATGAACCGCCACTGTATATTATTCTATACATATCTAAAAAATACGGTTATTTATTTATTTTGTGGTACGGCATCTATTTTTTTTATTAAAATCTAATATTATGTCTATCAATATTTCTGTATAAGAAAACTGTTATATAAAAAAATTCTTATCTAAATATTTTTCTAAAAGCATTGGTGCCTCTTAAAATATTATCCGATGAGTAATTGGCATAGACGTATTTATTGGTACTATACGTCCTAACGTCACGCTATAAGACTGTTTACATGATCAATAAATTCTGGTTTGGTGTTGGTAACAGGTCGCAATGAAGGTACTCAATTACAAAGAAGTAAAAGTACCGGTGTACCGAGTACTTTAGAATCGTTACTCTTAAGTAACTGTACCGAAAGGAACGATTACACTAACGGAACGAAAATTCTCACCACTACTATGAACCACAAATCGCTCTTCAAACATAAAATCTCCATGATAACAGATAACAAAAATAGCAGAATCAATGCTACCAACAAAAAATACAAAAATGGCGTCCTTTTTGATACACTCTTTATTATTTGTCTTGATTATCATTTTTAGGCGTACATACGTTAAATTTATGGGAAAAACCCTTACCTAGGAGAAAAGACTTAAAAACCCAGCACAGTGGGGTCGCGGCATAGTGGAGACGTTGCATAGTTGGGTCCAGTATAGATTTAATCTGACAGTGATTAAAATCACTATCATAAGAAACGCTTCGATGCAAATCTGTAGATAATGTTTAATTTTTAAGAAATTGATGGATAATTACAAAAGCAACATCAACTTCTATTTCCTCAATTAAACCCAGATTAGTAATTCTTATAATTATATATTATACAATTTTTAAAATTAATTGTTTTTAAATTATTATTGATTTTGATTTTTAATATGATAAAAGTAATCATTTTGAACCTACTTTTTTTTTGTCCTTTAAAGTGAAAGTTTTAAAAAAAAAAAAAAAAAGAATTTATTACCATAACATTTAGCTCAACTTGCAAGTTTGAAATTTACATTATTAAATAGAAAAAAAAGAAATTGTTAAGATTAATATGCAATCAGGGAATTTTATAATTACTATTTACAGTACATTTATCAGAAAAGTTAGATTTTTTTACATTTTTATCGTAATAGATCACTTAAATAAAAATCATAGTAATCATTTCTAATTAACTTTTGGCGTTTAAAAAGATTTTACAATGGTAATATTCAAAACTTAATTAATTTTAATGATTTACTTTAACTAAATGAACCAATCAAAACAAAGTTGTTAAAAAGATTTACTCAATTGAGCGTATTATAAAATATGATTATAATTGTAAAAATCCATCGTTAAATTTAGGTGAAACACTTACAAAAGTTAAGTTGAAAAAGTTCTATTTTTTATACAATGTTTCAAGTTTTGAACGCTCCCTATATATGGGGAAATTGTCCAATTTTAATAAAAAGTATGTCAAATGAAATATGTACTTATAATGTATTTAGAAAAAAAAAATTTGTGCTGATATATACATTTTTCAAAAAGTTATAGCATTTTTAAGTTGAAAATTTAAAATCGAAAATCGAAAATTTTAACACAAAAATAGTGTTTTTTTAACTACGGCAGCCGTTTAAATGTAGAAAAAAAAGTGTCGGGACAAATTTTTTTTTTTCATTTTGTAGTACATAAAATAAGCTTTAATTTGATATATGTTTAAAGGACGCAGTATTTCCGGAACATTTTCAAAAATTAAGTTGAAAAAGTTATTTTTTGTAAAAAAGTTACTATTTTAAATCCTCCCAGTGAGCAGAATAAGTGTTAGATTTTCAAAAAAAATTATATCAAATGAAAGGGAAATATCTAAGGTTTCAATACAAAAAAATATTATTTTTATTTGTTCATTTTTGAAAAAGTTATGGCAGTTTTAAGTACAAAAAACATCCCGATAAAATGTAATTTTTATCGCAAACATTACATTTTTTTTTAAATTTTCGACAGCCATTTGCACATAGAAGATAAGATGTCGGGACAAATTTTTTTTTTTCATTTGATAGTATATAACATAACCTTTGATTTGATATATGTTTAAAGGACGCAGTATTTCCGGAACATTTTCAAAAGTTCAGTTGAAAAAGATCTATGTTTTTTACAATATTTTAAGTTTTGAACGCCCCCTATATAAGGGGAAATTGTCCAATTTTAATAAAAAGTATGTCAAATGAAAGATGTACTTATAATGTATTTAGAAAAAAAAAATTTGTGCTGATATATACATTTTTCAAAAAGTTATAGCATTTTTAAGTCGAAAATTTTAACACAAAAATAGTGTTTTTTTAACTACGGCAGCCGTTTAAATGTAGAAAAAAAAGTGTCGGGACAAATTTTTTTTTTTCATTTTGTAGTACATAAAATAAGCTTTAATTTGATATATGTTTAAAGGACGCAGTCTTTCCGTTACATTTTCAAAAATTAAGTTGAAAAAATTAATTTTTGTAAAAAAGTTGTCATTTTAAATCCCCCCCCAATGAGCAGGTTAAGTGATAGATTTTCAAAAAAATGATATCAAATGAAAGGTAAATATCTAAGGTTTTAGTATAAAAAAAAATTATGTTGATTTGTTGATTTTTCAAAAAGTTATGGAAGTTTTAAGAAAAAAAAGTGAAAAAATTTCAAAAATTAGCGATTTTTAAATTTGTAATTTTTTTGGATATTTCCCCCATTTGCG